GCACCGCGCAGACGGCAATAAATCAACGAGGAGAGGGAGCAAGAGGACGGGAAAAAAGAGGTTCAATAGGTGGAAATGAGGCCTTTACAGGGCGGAAGAAAAATGCAAAAATGAACAAAAAAAAAGGAGGTGCTTGACTTTTTTAAAATATATTTGTTTTTCAGCGGGGGAGGGGCAGTACTGTCTGTAGTAAATAAAGGAAAAGAAGCGGGGACACGAGCAGCAGGACAAGAAGAGGCGGACCGGAGGCTGTGCGATGTAGCGATCAAGGGCAACAGGGGCAGTTCGGGCGGTTAATTCAGAGCCATAGCCTCTCTTCTCGTCGGCGATCCGAGGCAGCAGCTCAGAAGAAGAGTGCCGGGGAATGTGCCTATTATTAGAACACCCATGAAAGGGGGCATGCACGGGAGTGTGACAAAATGGCAAATTTAACATAAAAGTATATATTTTTGTGGCTTTTTAAAAACAAAAAAAAACTTTCTCTTGCTTTTATTTCCATATATGGGCCTTTCACTTCTCTCTCTTTTTCTCTCTGTGTAGCTTACCATTCAGCTCTTTTTTATGTTTGTTGCTGCTGTAGTCTGAGACTGTCGTCCCACTCTTTCGAGGAAAGTTCTTTTGTCTTCTTCTTTTCCATATTTTTTTACGCGCCTTAAGTCACTAAGACCAGTTGTGTCACACCACTCTTAGCCTCTTTACATGCACAAGGATAAAGGGGCAACGGGAGACAAGGCATCTCGACAAGGTTCTTTGCTTTTTTGTTGTTGCTCTTTTTAAAAAATATTTCTGCTGTTTGACTGACCGTGGTGTAGACTCCGCCGTTTCCCCCACTTTTCCGCTTGTAGTAAAGACGGTGGAGTGTCTGACGGGGCCCACGTATTCACGACCGTAAAGGGTGGTGTTGTTTGCTAATTGATGCTTTTGACTGCTTGTCTTGTCTGTCGTACATGTTTTACGTGCTGCGTATATTATTATTATTATTTTTCCGTTTGTATTGTTGTTTGTTTGCTTCTCTTTTGTCTTGACATCCCCGCGCGCGCCCCAAACAATAAAAGGTCCCGATTTCTTGAGGAACCATGACGCACTCCACAGACCTTCAGTGGCTGGTGGTTCGCCAGAACAGCAAGTTTCTTCAGAAGCGCAACGGCATTCGTCTCAGCAGCGATCCCTTCAACAACAATGCGAACTGGACGAAGCGCCACGCCGGCTTTCTGAACACAAAGGCCGCCGTGGTGAAGACAAAGGGCGACCGCATCGTTGTGACGACGAAGAACGGTGAGACAAACAACAAGCCAAAGTCGATGTACCAGAAGGTCGTAATGGATGCCGGTGTGAAGGCCTCCACCGTGAGCAAGGCCGTCGCCGCGGTGCGCCCCGACCTTGCCGACGTGGCGTTCCGCCGCGCACGCAAGATGGCGTTTACAGTGAACCACATGAACAAGGTGCGTGCCGCCCGCAAGGAGCGCTCGTCGAAGATTGTGTTCCAGCGCAAGTCCGTTCGCCCCAAGCGCCACTGAGCGCCA